CTGCCTTTAGCTTCCCAGAGACTTAGCTAAATGTTTTGCCGTGCTTGCGGTAACGGGAGTACCCCGACGGCAGTAAGTGCGCTGGGCAGGGAGATCGAAATGAAACTTTTTATGCTGCATTTTTGATTGCTCATTCTCTATATTTTTGTAAACTTTTTTATCTTGAAGGAGAATTGGATGAGGATGGAGCTGCCCTTGTTCTTGCAGTGATATTTTATTCTTATGATCTTAATAACGCGAGGAATTGGCATTTCTTAAAACTAAGTGTAAAATGCTCATGGTCATAAGCCTGGCTGCTTGTTTCTGTTAAACACAGAACCTATCTAAAAAAAGAGGATCAGAGATGTTATCGTCACAGAATGAAAATTACCACAATTGGCCCAACTTACTGTTTTTCACCATTGTGGTAGTAACATTAGTTGGAGGGACATGCAGCTTTTGTGTAATGTCTTTTGTTCATGCCCTGCATGCAATTTTGTTTTCTCCCAATTTTAAAGTGTGTGTGTGCATTGATGAGTGTCAGTGAAGGGCACATGGATGCCAGGCCGTTGTTTCTAGTTGTTTCTGTAAGTGTAGGCTCTGGGTACCTGCCTAGGGGAGCACTATCTCCATGTGACTTGGCAAGTCGCCACGTCTTCCCTTCTGAATCAAAGCAAGTTCCTTCTTCCTGACCCCTGCTTGTTGGGATTCGGTGCTCGCATTTACCTGGTACACAGGAGTTAGACTGCTCTTTCTGAAACGCAGCCAAGTAGCAATAACTAGTTGCAAAAAAACCCAAAAGCAACCAAACAAAAAAACCCAGCGAGAGCCCCACCCTAACCCTAACTCTGCTTAAGCAGGGGCAGATATTGAAGCAGTCAGGGTAGAAGTATGCCTACCGTCCTGTTTTTAGGGGCTTAAACCTAAAGTCTCCTATAAAGTTGCAGTCTATTTGTATATGTCAATACAAGTAATGGCACTCTTACTTCAGCCTTCAAACTTTGGATGCTTCTTTATTATAAAACACTTCACGAATAAAAATGCAATTGTCCCAAGAGGTCCTTAATCATCATTACATCTGGTTGTGAACTGAACAAATGTAGTTCATATAATCATTAAACTCTTTTTAATTGCAATTTCGTTGTTACGTTCCTCTTGCTACAATGTACAATTGCTTCCACAGGCGGGAAAAGCATTTAGGAAATTTCTTCCCCTCTTTGATCGCGTTCTGGTTGAACGATGCGCGGCTGAGACAGTAACCAAAGGAGGCATCATGATTCCAGAAAAAGCTCAAGGGAAAGTGCTGCAAGCAACAGTAGTAGCAGTTGGATCCGGAGCCAGAGGAAAGGTAAATATCCTGAAGTATTACATTTGGGTAGAATTAGTAATGGTGTGGGCTTCAGCACCAAAAGGGTTTTTTCCCCACCAAAGTAGCATTCAATTAGTAGCAATAGTGGCAAACAGGTTAAATTTCAACTTGGGCATGTTGACCTGGACTTTTTCCTTACTATGAGCCCCTCCATACATATCATGCTGGTTTGTGTCAGTATCTGATTTTTAAAGCTTTATATTGTGAAATGGCACTAATATTTGACTAAAATGCAAAAATACAACTAAACTTTATCAAGTGTTTCTAAACAACTGATTTGCTAGCAACAATGACTAGTTGATCAAAGAAACAAAGATAGGAAGGTACTTTTAGCTGGCACCTGGAGAAATCAGCCTTGGCTATAGAATATCGAAATGGACTTTCTCCCTTCCTTTAGAAGGGGGTTTCATGGTCTGTCAGTTTCTCAGGTTTCTTGGGTGTTTTTTTTCTTTGAGTGAAGTCCTACTCAGTATGTCAGGGAAACACCTCATGGTTGTATTTATACTCACTAATGAAAATTAATTCTATTCAGAAAATCACTGCAGTTCTACTGCCTAAATATTGCAGGACTCCCATGCTTGAGAATTGCCTGGTGTGCTTTTCTTCCTAGTAAACCTATATATTCTAATTTCACTGTACGATGAAAAATACGGAGTTGTGATATCCTGACTGTTTTATATGTAGATGGATCATTGTCATTTGGAGGAATTATATTACATCTGTGTATATTGTGGAAAACTAAGGATTTCTTTTTTCTTTCAGAATGGTGAGATTCAGCCAGTGAGTGTAAAAGTTGGTGAAAAGGTTTTGCTACCAGAATACGGTGGTACAAAGATCGTAATAGAAGATAAGGTAGGTTTCCCAACTTTGTGAATGCAAATTAAGCTGTTTCCCATAATGTCATACTGACAGTGATAAATACAATAGTTACTTTATAGTGTTAGCAGCATTCAAGAAATGCAGTCGTTGGTATTCAAATGGGAGCAGCTGAATCCAGCCAGGTTCTGGTACCTGTAGTACTTCCACCCCTTCTTAAAAGGAAGTAACCAAGGAAACCTCTGGCATGACCTTTGCTGGGTGGACGAAGTGGCTCCATATGGCAAACATATATTAGAGGAAACCCTAAAAGGCTTTGAAAATACTGGAGGTATCCTTGCTTTTGACAGGGAAAGCTTGCAGAATTGTCTTCTCAGTTCTTGCACTTCCTACTAATAAAAATACTAACTTGGTAGCTTTCCCAAAGACTATCCTATGAACAAAAAAAAAATCTTTTCAAGAAGTCAACATGTAGAGCTAGTCTGATTAGCTCAGTTTTGATTTTATACTTCATGACTGTGGTAGCCCTGACTTCAGAACAAGACAGTATTTGTAAAACAACTGAAAAAACAAGTGATATAACAGGTACTAATGGTTTTGGTTTGCTTTTCTTTGCAGGACTACTACTTGTTTAGAGATGGTGACATTCTTGGCAAATACGTGGACTAAAGCTGTTGCAGTATCAGTCATCCATTCCATTAAAACGCTGAAATTTTTCTTTCATCATGTAAATAATATCCTTTATTTTATAATAAGCAGGCACTGAGTCTCTGAAATAACTTGTGATCTCACTGTAATGATGGAACACAAATAAAAATATGTACAGTCAGAAATCAGTTGCTCTTGCTTGAATTCCATTGAACAGTGAAATTCAGATGACTACCAACCAGCCTTAATTGTTCTGAACAACATCATTTTATATCCTTATCTCTGTACTGAGATTGTAAAGGTCTTTACAATAAACTTCTAAAACTATTCTGCTTCTAGCTTCTGCTGTTGCTCAGTGAAACTGTCTCAATTGTGTAAGGATTTCTCTGAAACAATTCAATTGGTAGTAATACTTTATTTTCCCTAAACTTGTATGAAGGTGGGAGATGAGTTTAAAATGGTTATCACACGAATGCAGTGATGAGGGGACTTTAAGCTAGCTCCCTTGCGCATTGAACTTTATCTTAAGATAACTCTTTTTTTTAAATAACTCCTGTCTTAGAAATAGCTAAGACACTGGTACACTGGAAGATTAGTGCACACAAACCACCCTGCCACAAACAACCTGTCCCACAGCAGTCTAGAAGGAGCTTGGTACTAGTCATACTTGTGCTAGAACAAAATCATCCAGTTCATAGGTGAAGCAGATATGTAAGCAAAGACTTTATAATTCTTATCTCGCACTGAATTTTGCCAAAACAAATAACTTCCCTCCAGCAGTTAATCAGGCAGAATTGGGGCTGATGCTGATCTTAAAGTAAATTTCAGTACAGATTACTACACTATCTCAGGCCAGATCTCCAGCTTTCACACAACTTAATAAAGAGCTGATTTGACAAGTTGTATTTCCTTTATCCTTAATGCAACATTCTTAAATAGCAAGACATTTACTTAAGTAATGCTGAAGCAATCAAATTTACATATTTCTAACCACCTTATCTTGCCTTGGAAAGGGATTCAAGTTGTTCGTGTAGGAGTATACAAATCTGCACTTCACACACTGCGTTCCTAATGACGCTTTCAAAGTTGGTATGCATACATCGATCTAGTGCAGTGTAAGAACATATACTGCTGTAAAATGTCTAACCACCTTATCTTGCCTTGGAAAGGGATTCAAGTTGTTCGTGTAGGAGTATACAAATCTGCACTTCACACACTGCGTTCCTAATGACGCTTTCAAAGTTGGTATGCATACATCGATCTAGTGTAAGAACATATACTGCCGTAAAATGTTTTGATGTAGTTTTATGTGAAATCAGTATATGACATACTGCTACTGAAACTTTAATAGCAGTAATTAAACAGTACTTCTTTCTCGTTCCATTCAAGCTGTTACAAAATCGGTGTTGCTAGATCCACTATAAGCCTTATTCTGGAGATAACAGGAAAGGACTATAATGAAAATATTTTTCAGAACTTCAGCAGCTGCAGCAGGGGACTTCAGCTTTGACATATTCTGAAACAGTGTCTTTCCTGCTAGGGCAGTTTCAGGTCCCTCCCTGCAACAGCTAAACTTCAGCACAGAGGTGAGCTGGAGCCACTTTTTTACGTAGATGTCAATTATCGCCCAGCTATTCCGTTAGGAGCTACATTTGACAATCTTGGCCGTAATGTCTTTTGCTCCCCGTAGCTGTGGGGCGTGCGGCTTGTTGGCTGGCTACCACCTACCTACTTCGGAGCTGTAGGCAAACCAGGGAAAAGTTACACCATTCAGGTAGTTAAACTCCCACAGAACTATGTAGTACAGGGAAGACGCTAAATTAAAAACACCCCTGTTTTAGTATAAAAGGCCTGCTTCTTGAAATCTGCCCTATTGCAGTTTTACTTTAGTAGTTACAGCAGTGCACTTGACCAGCTGAAACTTAAGATTACCGCACTACAAGTATCTTGAAAGACAATTGATTGGGTAACGAAACACAAACTCATTGAGAAGCGTTATCTTCCACTACAGCAAGCGTGCCTTTGTCTTCCATGATAAGGTAGGTATTCTGGTGCAGTCAGGTACCAAAGAGGGGAAGGGATTTTAACATATTTACAAACTGCTTATGGAAAATAGACCCCACCTCAATCAGAAAAGGATGCAGTAGGAATCAACTCCCAACAGAGAAATGTTTAGGCCTAACATTTCAGCATTTCTTTCAATGCTGTCTTTGAGAGACATGAATTACATAGGATCCCACTCAGCAAATAATTTCACACTGTTTACAGTTCTTGTTTATGAGGAGCCACTACGACCCGTGGGGGTGTGATCGGAGGGCAGGTGACCCAGAGGTAGCACATACCTCCTTACTACTCGCACTACTTACCTTCATCCCCCAGTGCTGTACTCCTCAGCCAAGGCACCACTGCCGTACCAGCCCCATCCCCATCAGGATTACGCTGAACTCACGCCGCAGTGCTGCTGTGCGTGCACCACACAAGTCTGTCTCCCTCAACGCTACCTCCAACCCGCGCTTTCAGCCCCAGCAAATTTTCAGCAGCTTGCTACCATGCTTATTTAATAAAATATTTAGCAAGGCTGTATCTACTAGTGTTTACATAACTGATTAAAAACAAAAGTCACATTTTCCTGAAAACCTTCAAGGGAATAAGTAATTTATGGATGGGGGGCAGGGAAGCATTCCTAGGCCTAATCAAATGGAGGACACGCTTGAACGTCTATTGGATGGAGAGACAGAGAACATTTTATTCTTGCACCATGAGGCTATCACTGCAAGCAAGGACAAGGTAACTATTATACAGCCAGGGTGATCCATCTGCTCTTAACTGTTTCTTAGTCCACAATGGCATGCCAAATTCTATATGCCTCAGGTTCTATACAGGAGGACAGAATCAATCACAAATACTCTTTCTTTGCTATGTCATTCATGGGGGAATTTAGACTTTTTTATTCCACTGTTTTCTAGACTATTTCAAAGCTTCAGTTTTGGCAAAAATGTTACATATTGCCCTGCCTGCTTTTTGGGGGGGATACAGTCCTTCCCAGCCTTTCTTCAGGCTGTCTGAATCATAAGAAAACAAGATGGACTCCATCTGCTTTTGCTACTTTTCTTTCTTAACATTTCAGAACAGCTTCCCTTAGCAGCAGCTATACTGTTTCCAGAAAACCTTTATCATCCTGGTTATGTTATCCCACCATAGTGAAAAAAGGATGAAACTTTTACACGCTAGTAGAGAAGAAAGGAAGGCCAGGTCCCTAACAGCACAGGAATAGTCAATAAGATTTTGGCCAGATATTCCATTTTTCACTCTTGAAGGTCATGAGGCAAGGAGGACCAGGTAAAAACCAAAAAGTGAAATTACTGTTGATCATATTTTGTTTAAAACCAACTTGAAATCCAATAAAACAAAAATAATACACAGCTCCCAGGAAACTGGGTTAATTACCAAGAGGCAACATGAGAGACCTATGGACTTTAACATCTTCATTAAGAAATACTGCAGATTTCTTTCATTTTTCTGCAAACCCATAAGCCAGTTGCAGATTGAACTAACAGATACATATTTCTCTCTGAAAGGCATTTTTTCACAGGCAGATTTATTTCCATTTTAGAAGCACGATGTCCATGAAATAAAAGTCAGGGACAAATGGAAATGTCAAATTCCCAACTCTTCCATGCTTTAGATATCAGTTAAACCTTGAATGTGATGAAAGAAAAAAATAAATAGAAGACAACAAAAAAAGCCCAAACAAGCTGCTGAATTCCAAAGGATTTAAATAGCTAGAATTACTTTTATTTTGAGACTGGCTAATTATAATATCAATCTCATACAAAAATCAATGCTGGATTACAGCTGATCTAATGAGGTAATAGGGCATTTGTACCCTTAATTCTAATGCACCAATTTCTCCCAACCTTGTCACGGTCTCTTCCACAAACTGCTTAGAAGTGCTGAGTTTCGCCACATGACTCAAATAGCTAACATATCTGGGGCAGGCATGCTGACCAGGAGTAAAAAAGTAACTAATACAAACTGAACTCAGGTGTCTAAAGTTAGGGATGCCACCTCTGTGTTACAGTGTAATATGAACAGAGCTGCCATTGCTGTCGATATAAACGGCTGGTTAGCTGGGTGCATGCACCTGGGGCAGGAGATGACCCTGTTACCTCTTTTCTCATCGCTTGCACATTGCCCAGCTTTCGGCTCTAACCTGGCCTCTAGAACAAGGCAGGATCCTGGTCACGGCATTGCCCAAGCAAAATAAGTACTCAAAATGCACTTTGCTTTCTAATGGGAAACCTAATCAGAGATTCTTCAACGTTGTCATTGCAGGAATGTTTCACATACTCGTAACTCTGATTGGGCAGAAGGAAGAGGTTTTAACATGGGGAAGCACATGTTATTTAGAGCTAATGCATTGAGTGAAGGGAGGAGAAACACACACCTAGCACTCACTCTGTAGTGCAGTGGAAGTAGGGGCAGCATCAGGTACCAGCATTCTCCACTTTTCAGGAAACAACACACAACTGCAACCATTTATTTATTGATTCTGTAAGGGGAGGTACCTCATCTCTGCCTTGTTGCTCCATCATTCTTGCTCACAGACAGAAGCAATCCACCCTTACTTACCTATTTTGTACTCCTTCCTACCACCTATTGCCTGGAAACAGAGCAGCTTCCAAATAATTGTCTCCTCACTTATCCTACAGAAATAACATGAGCCGTTCTAGTCTTCCAAAATGTCTACTTGCTTGTAACAGGGAGCTATACATCAGCCAATTGTAAGCTAACAGTGCCTTCTTTATGTTTTCTTCCGAAATATAGTCTACACTTCTAACACCCAACTCAGTAAACCTTGAAACCCAGGCTAACTCTGTTTTCCATTAGCACAGCGGTCTGTGACCTCTGCACAGCAAACTCACAAGGCTGTCAGTCCTGCCTTTGAAGACCTAGAAACGCTTTGTACCTACTTTGTTTGAAGTATTTAGACCCAAATCACTGTCGTCGGGTTTTTAAAAATTCATTATTCTTAGCATTAACAACTACATATCTTTAACATAGGACTTGAAATATTTTTAAAAATTCACACACATAAGGATTACATTATACAAAATTTCGTAGACTCGGTTGTGTTGTACAGAGACTTGCGTAGAGCGAACGAGGACTAACCTTGCGGGACAGCGTGCACAGTCCCATGCTGACAGAGGGACACTGATGAAACGGGATGAAATCTGAAGAATACATTTTCTTGACAACCAGTCAGCTCATTAATCTCTGGAGACTTCATCTCACAAAACTAACAACTCTGCTCACTGCTACAGCC